AAGAAGCAACGCCGTGCTGAGGGCAACGCCGACATTTATGTCGTCGGCGCTTTCACTGGACATAATTGGCCTATCTTCCAAAGTAATTTTGGGGGCCCAAGGGACATCCGGTTTCTTAGACCCCGAGGTAGTAGCTGAGGCCGACCTCGGCTTCTTTGATTGTGTGGACTCAGAGGGTTGGGTTTCAGCAGACCTTTTTGCAGGAGCGGAAGAAGTCTTCTTACTCTCAGCCAGTTTGGAAATAGGCAAAGTGTCCTCAGATTCAACCTGAGTCACTTTGGCCTTTGGCTGAGCCCTTTTTGTTCTTTTTGGCTTTGGTGGGGGCATGGATTGGGTTGGTTCAGCATCAGCATCAACTGGGAGGTCGGCTAGGAGATCTTAGGCAACAGGCTTCGGGCGACCCATCTCAGCAGTTTTGGCAATTCGCTACCAACGTTTTCTTTCTGGTATTGGGATTAAGTATGGGGCTGAAGTTGATGGTTGATCGGCTGGATCAGAGGTTGACCCTTGATCAGCCCGAGATGTTGATGCGGTTTGTAAAGTGGTAGCTGAAGGAGGAGAAAGGCTTTTCTTCTTTCTTTTCGGGACGTCAGGCAAAATCGATTTGTATGTGGGAATAAAGTTTAGAAGGAGAGGTGCTTTTCTTTTATGGACAGGCAAGTCCAGGAGCTTTTTCAGGTCATTGCTAGGAACGTAAGATTGGCAAAAGTCTTTTGCTAGCTTACAAACGTCTGCAAGAAAAAACAGACATTAGAAACAGATAAAATATTGAAGACTTGAACGGAAACAACTAAGTATTGTCACTGGGCTCTTACCCTTGCCCTCTTTAATTGATCGGGGAAGAGGGTAGAGATGGGCGTCCTCGTCTGCACCAAACTCTCAATTTCCCGAAGCGATAACATAATCATCCCCAGCCCCCTTGTTGGAGTCTGGAAGGTCGGCTACGATTTTGAATTCAGTGGACCTCGGCTTGAGGTAGTAGACGTAACCTTTTTCCTTCAGGTTAAGGGGGCACATGGTGTAACAATACTGCATATCGACTAGGGTGATTCTAACGTTTTCTTGTCTAGCTAAGGCGATGATACCAAAAATCACTCGATAAGAGTTTATGGCAAGTTGCATAGGGTTCAACTTATAATAATGCAGAATCTCGCGAAAAAGGATGTTAAGTGGAAACCGAAGTCCGCACTCAGTAAAGGCTACAATAAGGAGAGGCATGGCATTTTCGGTAGGCATGATGGAGTCATCATCTCCAGCCAGTCTCAGGTAGACATCGGCAGGGACGGAGAACTCCTGCCTAAAGTACTCAAGTTTGGTCGGGGTATCTACCCTGTGTCTCCACATACCCATAACGTCAGCCTAAATAAAGAGGGCTGGGTTTCAGAAGAAAGATGTTTCAGAAGGGTTGCTAGAACCTCGGCTTCAAATCTGGGTAAGGACTGGTAAGGCTTGTTTCAGTTTTCCCTAAAAATTGAAGGTTCTACAGACAAATCCTAAACCTAAATCTATGAAAGTGAAGATTGGGGGCACAGATCTGGAAAGGAAAAATAGAAAACAAGAAACAAAGAACGACGTTTCAGAATCAAAGAACAGAGGTGTGGTTCTCAAAAGCGAAAGAAATACAGAAGTAAAAGGTCAAGAACAGTGGCAAGAAAAGTGTTGAAACAGTGCAAGTGTTCAAGACATGAGTGAAATCATGGAATAGAAGCATCCAGATGAATAGTTCAGCAAATCAAAGGTTTGAACAAAGCAATAATGGCAGCAAGTAAACGAAAGCACATAGAAGAAATTGGGAATAAGAGGAGCAGAGGCTTACCAAAACAAATGAAACTGGAATGAAAGTCGCCGAGGTAAGGCAACGGTTGCAGACACGACGGAACGGCGAAAGCTTCGCTGGAATGGAGGAATGAAGACGGTTGCAGAGCTTGAAGCTAGAGCAATGGCGGATTTGAGAAAGTTTAGAGAGAGAGAGAGCCAGAAAATCCAGTGCAAAAGTAAATAAGTGAAGAGGGAAAGAAAAGTTTTGTAAAAAACTTGAAACGGCGGCAAAACAGGGCATTTATTACACCTGGAGCAACGCACACGTCAGACGGCGCAGACGGATGAAAAACGGCTTACAAGCGCGTCACTGGCACGAGCCAATGAGGATATAACGCATGAGTAAAACGGTTGAAAAGTGATGTATGACAGCTCATACGCATGAAGGGATTCATTTGAAGTTCTTGTTTTTTTTTTGAAGAAGACATGTCGGCCTGAAGTGAACGATCTCTGCTGAAGAGTTCTTATGCCGATGTATTGGAAAGAGGAATGATATAGGTTCCATCATCTCAGAATGCTGAGGTAATAGAACCTAGGGGGCAGTTGTGGGGATATATTTTCAGAGAACCAGCACGTAGCAAGGCGACGCCGACGTGTCAGCCGAGGTGCCACGTGTCGTGGTAGTTATGCCGAGGTTATCTCGGAGTTACCGAGGTTATGTGCAATAATACCGGAGTCCGAGATAAGTGGATATGGGACAAGAGTCCTAGGACAAAGAGGGGACTTGGCCAAGATAAGGATAAAGCTCTTAGGGAGTTTATCTTTATCTTTTGAGGAATCCAAGTAAGCACAGAATTGGAGTCCATAGAAGTCATGCTTCTAGTGGGACTTGGATTGAGTTAATTATAAAAGAGAGGCACCCCCGTGGGTCTAAGGTATACAATTTATGTTCTGAGCAATAAGTTTAGCACTTGATTTATCTTTGAAAGATATACTGACTTGATCGTCGAAGTGCCCCCGGGTGGACGAACCACTGCCAGAATCTTCTCTTTCTATTGCAGGTTAGCCAGGTGCCATCTATTCTGCCGGTGCTCTCCAGCTGAATACTGAGTTGGGCGATGTGATCAGAAAATCACTCACACAGTTACAAGTACATTATGAGACGCATAACCAAAGCAAATGTCGATTTTTCATTTCATAGTACCGATCATAGTTTGTATATACAATACATAGACCGTAATATGTATACGTAATTTGTGCATCCATGTGACCAAAATGTTACCAAAACATAGTTTAAATTATTGTAATAAATTTAAATTTTGACATTACAAATCTTCTAATATATTATTTTGTTTGGTTAGATTTTTAAAAAGTAAATTTTAGACCCTTGCAGGCACGGGTTATTATTGTGATAAATTTAAATTTAAAAAATACAAATCCTTTCAAAATCTATTTTTTAAAATTTTTTTTAAAATATAATAATAATAAAATACTTATCATTTTATATAATTTTACCTTTTTGAGAGCAAAATAATATTTAAATTTTAAAAATATTTTTTAATAATTATTTTTGTCAACTTAATTTTTATTAAAAAAAAGGAAAGAGAATCAATTTTAAATTATGTGTTATTGGGCTAAAATCCCAAAAGTAGAATTACGTTTCAGTGGTACATGAGGAAATAAATAACAAATTAGTGGTAACTTTTTGAAAATTTCAATAGCTAAGTAAAAAAATATTCAGGGATATGGAATCTTGACTTTGATTTACTCCATTATTTCACTAGAGAAGTACGTGTCACTGATTCTTGGAAAAAAATTCAATGGAAAGTAGAAAGTTTTTCAAATATCAACCGGAATGGCAAGTGAAAATGAAATTACAAACATTTGGAATCTTGAATTGACTTTACTATTATACCCTTGTCTGTCACAAAACTCTCACCACTCTGCACACACCAACCACACTCTCACAGTCTCACATACGAGCAATTTTTGTATGCAAAGAAGATAGGTGTCATGTGGTACCTTCCTCTTCTTTTATAGGTTGAGAGAGTGGATGCTACATTTATATGTTGGGTGATGGAGAGATAACATGAGAGACCATAGTATTTGTGATTAGTTGAAGGTACCATGTGACATGCCACATAATACTCTTCTAGCACCCAAGGATTTTTCCTCACATACACAGTCGAAAAATTATTTGACGCCCTAGGGCATCACCTATCCATATCTCCCACCATTTCTTCCTCCACACTACACTCTTATTGACACCCAACCCCAAATAACTTCTCCACACGGTCACACTCTTATACACGGATTCGGGGGTACTGCTGCGAGGGCTGAAACGCCGTCGTTTCATCAAGTTTATGCATATTCAATAAAATAAAATAAAAATTGGGTGTTAAGAGGGGTTGAACCTAGACAAGCTGGAGATAAAGAGGGTCTTCAGCCACTATGCTACTTAGTCTACTCATTAATACTTCGGACATATATTGTATTTATTACAATCTGTATTCTAGCATAAAAAAAAATTACAATCTGCTATAATTAAAATACAAAACAGCGATTCAAGACAAAACGTTGGGTCTGTTAGGAGCAGGAAGGGTTTGGGTTCTCTACCGTCTCTCTACCATTGCTTCGTCGTTCCTCCACCGTGCCTCCACCTTTTGCTCCAACAGTCCTCCGCATATACCGTAGCTCCACCATCACCATTGTCATTGAAGTTACTTATTTGTCTTGTAAGAATCTTCACTCAGGTTTGAAAATATATATATATATATATATATGGTGCTTTATTTTCATATCAAATAGAGATTGTGTTTTGGATTGGGGATTTTAATATAATATTATAGGATTCTGTTATGTGTATGTATATGGTGATTTGTATAAAATTGTGTAGATTGGATTTTGTTATCTGTTATAGGAATGTGTTATTATGTTTTGGATTAGGGATTGATGCTCTATTAAATTAACTTCACAATTTGATAAGTATAGGAATCTATTATTATATATGGTGATTTAAATCTTGGTATTTTCATTATCTTTTCACATAATGTAAGTTATAAAATTTTATAATCTATTTTAAAGGTATACTCTTTTAGTAATATAATTGATTTGTCTTGTGTATAATAAACCACATCAAGAAAGTAGACAATTTTTTAGAGTATGTAGTAATTTATCTTATTGTTGATGTTATTTTTGTGCTATTTTTATTGTTATTAAACTTTATATTCAGCAGTGCCGAAATGGAAGATAGTGCACTTAAGGAGTTGGCCAAGAATTCCATGCTATGTGTTAGAATGGAATTTGATTCGAAGGAAGCTGCATATGAATTCTACAATGAATATGGAAGGATTGTGGGATTTAGTATTAAAAGAGATTACCATACAAAAAGTAAGAAAGATGGTATCATGATTAATATAAAGTTTGTTTGTTGTAAGGAGGGAGAAAAGGAAAAAGATAAACGGTACATAATAGTAAAACATCCTCAACATGAGACAAGAACGAAATGTAATGCATTCGTGTATATATCTTTTAGACGAGACTTGTCAAAATGGGTTTTGATGAAGTTTGATGATAATCACAACCACCTTTTGCATATTCCTCAATGTACGCATATAATACCATCTCAGAGAAAGTTGTGTAATGCTCAGGGTATAAATGTTGATGTAGCTGATGATACTGGTATATCACTCAAGGCATCACATGATCTTATTAACGCCTTAGCAAGAGGGAAGAAATTTGTAGAGTTCACGCGAGAGGACCAAAAAACCTACTTGCGTGCAAAAAGGCAACGAAACTTGCAATATGGTGAAGCAGGAAGGTTGTTGAGATATTTCCAGCAACAAGCTATTGAAAATCCATATTTTTACTTTGCATTTCAGTTGGATGTTGATGAGATGATTACGAACATTTTTTGGGTTGATCATCAGATGATTACAGATTATGGCATTTTCGGTGATGTTGTGTCATTTGACACAACATTCCGAACAAACAAAGAGTACAATCCACTTGCTTTATTTACTGGCTTTAACTACTTCAGAATGACTGTGATTTTTGGTGCTGCATTATTATATGATGAAACTACAACATCATTTGAGTGGTTATTTGAAACTTTCTTGCATGCAATGTCAAGGAAAAAACCTGTTAGTTTTTTCACAGATCAAGATCAGGCAATGGCTAAGGCAATTTCTTAAATCATGCCTGAGGTATTTCATGGATTGTGCACCTTTCACTTAATACAAAATACTTTGAAACATTTAGGCTACTTGTTCAAGGGTGGTTTAAAATTTGGTTGCGAATTCAAAACTTGCATTTTTGGGTATGAGGATGAACATGAGTTGGTTAAAGTTTGGGATTCTTTGATTCATAAATATAACTTGCAAGAGAACTTATGGATAAAGAAGACTTGGGAACTTAGAAAGAAGTGGGCGTATGTGTACATGAAGTTGGTATATACTGTAAGAATGCGAAGCACTTAATTTAGTGAAAGCTTGAATGCAAAATTGAAGAAGCATTTAAAAGTTGATCATAAATTGTTCAATTTTTTACACACTTCAATCGAGTTGTTATGGATAAGCAGTATGAAAAAGTAAAAGCTATATACGATTCAAGACAACAGCTGCTGAGAATAAAGTTAAAAATGTCTCATATGTTAATTCAAGTTGCTAAGTTGTACACCCCTTCTATCTTTGACTCATTTCATAATGAGTTAAGCACATCCCTTTGTTGTCAAGTGAAGCGATGCCATGAGTTAGAAAGAGAAGTCACGTATGTGATTGGCTTATATGGAGATGATATAGAGTATATTGTTAAAGGTAATGTGGAAGTTAATGAGTCAGGAGGAGACAATATTTGTCGAGAAATTCATTGCACTTATCAAAAATTTGAGAGTTTTGGAATTTTATGTGGTTATGCAATTAAGGTGCTTGATAGAATGAATATTATGGAAATTCCTGAAAGGTATATATTAGGTCAATGGAGATTAGATGCGAATGATTGTGCAATTGAGGAAATAGTTACAGTGGTTGAGAATTACCCTAAGTTGGTGATAGCAGCACGCTACAGAGATCTTTGTCCTAGAATGGTAAAACTAGCAGCTCGATCATCTGAATGCAAACCTGCCTATCAATTAGTTTATAAAACTCTTAAGGGGCTTGTTTGCAAAAGTAAACAATATGATGACTTCATTAGACGACTCAGGCGCTTCTGGTAGTGGAGGCAATATTGAAGTTTGTACACTATTACAAAAATAGTTAAAGATCACACATTGTCAAATGAAAATATCTCACTTTTATTGAAGAGAAATTTAGTTTAAGGTCCCTCTCTCATTTTTTATGATGGAAAAGATCCACAATATTATTTTGTGATGCCTAAGGTCCTTTAACCCTCCACCCACGTATCACAAAGAAAATTCACTCCCTCTTCCGCTTTCGTACGCAACAATTTCTTCTTCGTTAAAGAATTGGTCAAGTGTTTGGCAGATGGGAATCGATCAGAGAGCTTGGTGGCTTCCGATTTCAAGGCGGACATTCTCGTGGGAAGATTAATCGTTGCCATTACAAAACAAAATCAAAATATACACACACAGAGAGAGAGAGAGAGAGAGAGAGAGAAAGAGGGGGTTTTGTAGCAATTTTTGTGGTAAAAGATCCACAATATTATTTTGTGATGCCTAAGGTCCTTTAACCCTCCACCCACGTATCACAAAGAAAATTCACTCCCTCTTCCGCTTTCGTACGCAACAATTTCTTCTTCGTTAAAGAATTGGTCAAGTGTTTGGCAGATGGGAATCGATCAGAGAGCTTGGTGGCTTCCGATTTCAAGGCGGACATTCTCGTAGGAAGATTAATCGTTGCCATTACAAAACAAAATCAAAATATACACACACACACACACAGAGAGAGAGAAAGAGAGGGTTTTGTAGCAATTTTTGTGGTTGATTATGAAAAAGAAGACAAGAGGAAGTGGAGATATATATATATATCTATATGTATATATGTGGCATCTATCCCACGTTAACTTAGATCCTTCAACGAAGTTATGGATCTAGATCTTAGCAGAGGCTCAAAGCTTCAGTGATGGAGTGTTCTTGGAGGATAAAAGGTACGAAACTTCACTGTGCAAAGGTAGAAAAAAGTGATCAAAACAGGAGAGATGAAAAAAAATATATATATATCTCCAAAACACAAGTTTATTTATCTATGTTTATTTTCTCTCTGTGTTTTGGGGAAACAGGTTCTTTGGCTGTAATTATGATGAATATATATATTGTTTTTTATGTGTGTATATATATATATATATATGAGTGACTCAACTGAGATATGTAATGTATACATATCTGCAAGTGTATGCATTGGTGATTTTCTTTAGCCGGTTCATCACATATCGAAATAATCACACGGTTTTCTACTGAAATCTTTATAGCTTCTTCACTAAAACCCAGAGAATATTCAAATTTATCTGGGTTTATTTTGACCAATTTTCTCTGAATTTTCAAATTTCTCTAGATTCATTTTGATCAATTGAAGGCAGGTAAAGTCAGAGAAATTTTCAAATTTCTCTAGAGTGTTGAGTGCAGGAGAGACGAGGAGGGCAGAGAAATTTAAATTTCTTTGGAGATGTAATTTTGTTGTAAGACAGATAAATTTCTCTGGAAGAGTGGGACGTATATGGAAGGCAGAGAAATTTGGAGAAGGTGAGGGCAAAGAAATTTACAGTGGGAAGTTTAGGGAAGGTCAGAGAAATTTTCAAAATTTATCTGGAAAGTGCAGAGAAATTCTTGGACTAATTTTCTCTGTGACGTGAATTTTCTCTAGATCAACTTGAGGGACCTTAGACATTATTAAAATATTGAATGTCCTTTATGTTATAAAATCTTAATACTAGGGACCTTTAAAAAAATCCATTTATTGAAAGTATGATAAAAAAATTATATTGATATTTTAATCACACTTGATTTGATTAAGTGTGACCATATTTATTTTTGTCACTTTTCAATTTAGTGCAATTATATATATATATTTTAATCACACTTTTTAATTAACATGTGATTAAAGATCACATAAGAAGAATTAAAAATATCCTATTTTTATTAAAAATGTAATTAAAATAATTAAAATAATTTTTTAATCACGCTTAATTTAATAAGTAAGATGATTTTTTTTTTTTAATTACACATTTTAAATAAGTGTGATCATATATATTTATACATAAACTAAACTATACAGAGTCTAAGCCCTAACCTAACACTCCATCTCACTCTCTTCACTCTTTGGGTGTGTTTGATTGGACGGACTAGATAAGGGGATTAGAATCCATCGAACTTAAGTCTTGGGACTGTGAATCCCCCGAACTATTTGGTCGGATTGGATATGTATCCTGTGTTTGTTTTTTCATGGGATTAGATGTCTGGAAATGACTATTTTTAGTGAATCCAACGTTTGGTTGGACGAATTGGATAGGATAAATGAACAAATGACTATTTTATCCTTTTTTAATTGTTTACTAAGTAATAGCAATATTAAACATATCTTTAATATTTTAATTATTTTTAGCTAGATTAAATAAAAATTTATTTTATTTTATTTTTTACACAATTAAATAAATTTATTATTTTTAAAAAAAATAAATAAATAAATAAAATATCAATAAAAATATATATTATTTTTTTAATTAAAATTTTAAATAAATTTGTTTTTAAAAATAATAATAATCAAAAAATGAAATTAAATAAAACATCTATTAAATTTAAATAATGAAATTAAATAAAACATAAACAAAATTTTAAAATAAAATATCAATAAAATATCTATAAAAAAAAATTTCAAAAAATTAAATAAATAAAATATCAATAAAAAATTAAATAAAATTATTTTATTTTTAAATTGAGACATTTAAATTTTATTAAATATAATACATAATTAAATAGTAGAGGGTTAAAATGATCATTTCATCATCTAATCTAAATAGTGATTAGTCTACAAAACAATCCCATCCCCAGGATAGGATAGTCCCTCGCATGGGAACATAGAGTCCGGCCGAATATGAAGTTCGGCGGACTAAAAAAACAATCAAACGGCGAATAAGCAAGACTATTTAAATTATAATCCAAATAGTGATATTCCCTTTATCCGCCCAATCAAACACGCCCTTCGTCTCTTCCGCCTCCTACGTCGTTGCCTCTGGTGGCGCCACGGGCAACCACCACTGCCACCGCCACCACTCCTCCCTCGCCGCCCTCTCCCTCTTCTCCTATTCTCTTCATCGATCTTCACCAGTCGTCTACTTCGTCTTCTCCACTCTCGTCGTCGGTCCCAAAACCCTAACCCTACCTTCGATCTTCTCCAATCCCTCCACAAGCCATATGTTCGAATCCAGACCCTATCAGAACCTTTGTCTTCAAAGAACTACCATCGGACTCGTCAGAACGGTGATCTTAAATGGGCTGATTGCGATGAGAAAGATCAGGCGGCGAGGCACATTAATGTATCGGAAACAAAATCGGAAGATGGACAATTCATCTTTGACCTAATTTTTCTCTTCATTTCTGTTCAATTGACCCCTCGATCTTCTTTGATCAGAACCCCGCACCAGATTTTCCGGTCCAGTCCAGCTCCAGGTTCAGCCTTGAGGTACATCCCACTCTCCTCTCATAGAAACCACTAACACAGAAGAATATTATATTAGAGAAGAATCGAAAGTACTTGATCCAAGAACAGTAGTGGGTATTGAGTGTTAAACTCTATGCTTTCACTTTTTTTCTTTTTTCTTCTAAGCTTTTTGCCGTTTTGCATGTGATTTATTTGTTTGAAAGTGTAATGGGAAAGTATCTTCTTTGTTTTCGATTCGGCTTGTATTCTAGTTGGCCCAAATTGTGAATTGTACCACATATTATCAATTTTACAATTTCAAATAAACTGGTCCATTTTATTCAATTTCTCAATTTTTTAGCTATATATCTTGATTCCATACACTGATAGTTCCATATTTTAAACCTGAATTGTTTGGAAAGTGGCTATCTTTAACCCCTTTTTTTTTTTTTTTATACACAGCTATCTTTAACCTTGACAGCTAAATTTTATGCCATCTGTTGTTATCTCAATCCAATTTGGCACCTTGTCTTAATTGTGGTTGGCTTTACTAATCTGAATTTCATGCCAATTTTGAAACTACAGAAAAAATTGTAAAAACATAT